GCCACTCGAGAACCTTTTTTCTCCATCGGTTGTCGGTTCTTCTGCTGTTTGGCAAGCCCATTACCACTTGAGCTTACTAATCCATTGGGCTTTGACGGTTACTCTGGTTCTACTGCGGTTATCCTCATTTCTAAGTTTATTACGCAGAGAAACCCCAATCACAGAACTCTCCGTAGCTCGCTGAGCGACCTTGAGCGTTCTCATACGGCCAGATACGGCCATATCGCTGGAAACACGGCTTGGTTGTACAGTCTCGTTTTAAGGTTTTGTCGTGCACGTCATCTCATTAAAAGTGTACCTCACTAATATTCGAGGATTGCACTCTAATCTCAGCGCAGTCCTTCAGCATCTTGAGAGCCGCACCTACTTTTCTTGACGGAGACCCAAATTGGATGTCCATTGAATGCGGCGTACGTAGACTATCCTGGATTCTCGCTGGAGCACAAATTCCACCTACGTACCGGAGTCTGTGTGTACGTCCGCAATGAAATCTGCTTCCAGCGTCCCCATCACCTTGACGACCCCACTTTTTCGACAATTTGGGTGATGTTTATCGATCGCACAGTGGTGACCAAGAGACAACACGATTATGGCTGTTCCCATACCAGAAGACCGACTATGCTGGAAGAGAAGTGTGGAATTTTGCCTTGACGCTAGGTCTTTCTCAGCTGGTAAAGGAAGCGACTAGGGTACCCGATGTAGATGGTCACGCAGTCAATTGTTTGGACCTTCTGATGACTATCGAATCAGACAAGTACGAAGTACAGGCTACCTCCCCTTTGGGTACATCTGATCACTGTCTGGTGAAATCTGTATCATCATATTCTCCATTTGATTACGGGTCTCAAGGTTTTCGACAAATATGATTGGGATGAGTTGTGACACTTTTTGTATTCTATCCTTGACGAGAGGTCTGTTTATCTTCTACGGATCCGTCAAGTTGCGTGGATTCGATAACCGACGTGTTGCGTCAAGCTATGGAGTATTTTGTCCCCTTTCCTGACACTCCCACCGGTAGCAAATCTCGCTCGTCGTTTAGCGCTGAATGCGCTCAAGCTAAAAAACGTAAGCATTTAGCGTACCTATTCTGGGTTGCCGCTCGAAACCGCAAAACTCGGGATATCAGCTCCAGGAAGAGAACTTCAACCAGGCCATCAAGTTCTATAAAAAGCTTTACGGAAAGCCAGTCTCAATCGCATTAAACATATGGATTAAGTGAATTGGAAAATAATGTGATACACACTACTAGATAATAATGGTGTATAAATTAAGAATTACGTAACCAATTTGCGATTGCAGTTATAATCCCAATTTGGATGGTTATACTCGTAATTTGCAAAAGGAATACTTTAAAACTGTTCGATGGCTACTTTAGGCAAAGTGTGTACTTCTTACATACAAACTGTGAATAAAAGTGGAGACCGAAATATTTTACAACCCGTTTTTATTTTATTTTTATCATTTTATATTTATTTTTTGTTTTTTTTTTTAATGTATTTTTAGCGCTCTACCCCGAGTGGGTGAATAATGATTAATACACGACGACATAAACTTCGTTAAATATAATTATAGATTAAAAATAAAGTTTCTACTACGTCAGTTTTGAATAGTAAGATCGTAATTGAAAGCGCTTAAATCTTCAAAGCTGAAATTGTAGAAAAAATATCTGTCAACTAAAACGCTTCTTGTTGCCGGTCTTTGCGCTCCGGTATCTTGCTGATAACCGCTTCACGTCTCTCTGGGTGCAGAGCCGGGTGAGACAGCGACGGTGAGTTCGGCTTGGAAGCCAAGCTCACCGCGCTGCTCGATAGCGAGCTCGCGCTGGCCCATAGTAGAGCACTCAACAAATCACCTAATGTAACAGACCATTTAAACTGATTGTTGTCGTCGTGAGTGGGGGTGGATGGGGTCGCGGGGCTCTAACCCCCGCTACTCACCCCTCCGGGCGGTGCCGAGTTGTGAGCAGGGACATCAGAACCACCACAGAGGCCTGGCGCCCAGGCGGAGCGAAAAACACTCGGCGTCGGAAGCCGACAAAGCCGAGCGCTTACTGCCGGCCGCGCTCAAAGACGCGCTGTCACCATAGTAATTCTCTCCTTTCACAGAGTAAGGTCTAAGTAATTACTACTACTAAAGTTCAACTGTTGTGTCAACTTCGTCATATTGGCGAATCGTATTTAAGCCTTGTTTATACTTTGAAAAGAAAATCACGGTTTAGGCCGTAAGTTGTAGCAGACAAATTCCGCAGCACAAGCGGACGTTACACAACACGATGACGAATTGATAAATATTGGCGCAAAACTCTCTGCCAGACCATCTGGCACTAGAGCTTTTTGGTCTCTTACCAAAGCGGTCGAGACAAACTTCTGTCGGCACCTCTTACACTACCTTCGCTGATAAAACCGGATAGCACACTGGCACATACGGCTAAAGAGAAAACGGACTTGTTTGCATCTCTATTTGCCTATAATTCGCGTCTGGATAGTGGCAACAACATTCCAGCTAAATAACCTCACTGCAGGACCACTATATAAATAAGGAGGTTCTTAAAACCTTACGGTGTATAGACGTGAATAAAGCTAGTGGACCAGATGGTATACCAGCTATAGTTCTAAAGGCTTGTGCACCTGAGTTGTCTCCTGTGATGACGCGCTTGGTCCGACTCTCATTCAGGGCTGGAATATGCCAACATCCTGGAAGCTGGCCAACGTGCAGCCTGTTCCAAAAAAAGGCAGCCGTGCCGACCCTGGCAATTATCGGCCAATCTCAATTACCTCCATACTCTGAAAGATTATGGAGCGTATATTGAACCCGCTCGCTTGTAAGCAAAATGGCGATCGTAATCGGTAAGCGCTGTCAAATGGTAAATAGCTATTTTCCTCTAGGACACTAAGTTAACTTTAACTGGGGAACCTAATCTAATTTAAATATATGTTTGCAAAGTATTCATATTAAAAACTTACCAATCATGAATTTTATTAACATGTATAATATGTTTACTCATGTCATTATATTACTTGAAAGTAATATAAAGTAATAAATTGCACAAAACAACTTATAAACTCTACTTCAAAACAAACTAAATAAATAAGCAAAATTTTGATGATATTTTGAAAGATTGTGTCAGCGCTACTGAAGTAGCAAACGTGTCCTGGCCGAAAACTGTATAGTTTCGCCATTTTGCTTACAAGCGCTTCCTAGCGCTTTTTTCTGCTAAACACTCCCATTTTATAATTAAGTTTTTATTATTATTGTTGTAAAAATAATAATTAATTTGCAACCTTCCGCTAACTAAATACAATGATGACCTCTTCAATCCAGGTAAGACACACCATTGTATTTAATTGAGCGGATGGTTGCAAATTAACTGTTAATATCTTTATTATAATGGATTTCCGCAAAGTAACGCCTGATTCTATCAATTAGGTACAAGTAGTAATATTGTGATTAGACTTACTAATTTGTGAGCATCGCCATCATTTGTGACATTTGTTTACGAATCTCGCTTAATTCTTCCTTGATATCTTCCCCTTGATTTATCTGTAGACTCAGGTGTTGTGTTTGAATTTGGTTCCGACCCACTTAGGCCACTTCCAGTAGGCGAGCGTAGTACGCTCATCACAGATCTGTGGCACAGCGTCTATCACGCCTAAGCTCAGTGAGCATTACGGAGTGAAAAGGTCAATAAATATAATTCGTCTCTTTTCCCCGAGGGAGTGAAGAGCGGTTCGCTTGCCTTTCTATTATTATGTATTATTAATTCCCATGCGCGAGTGTCGTTGAAGTAAATTTCCGGCACTTTATCGCGTAACCGGTGCACTTGTGACTTAATTAAGTTTATAACTTAACTTTAAGTAATTAGGTATTAGATTGTTGAGCATAATTGCATTTATTTTAAAATTGTAAAACACGACTGCTCTGTACGCCTAGTATTACCGAAGCATCAGAACTTCTGATTTTATTACACAATTCCAGAACCAGAGTAACCGACGTAGCCCAATGGATTAGTAAGCTGATGTGGCAATGGGCCGGCATATAGCTCGAAGAACCGACAACCGACGGTAAAGAAAGGTTCTGTGTTAAGTGTAGGGCGGCCCCCACTAGATGGAGTGACGACCTGGTAAGACATGCAGGAAGATGATGGTTTCAGGTGGCTCAGGATCATGCTTTGTGGCATTCTTTCGGGGAGACTTGAGTTCAGCAGTGGACTTGTGAAGGGCTGTAATGATGATGATGAACGAAGCATCAGCTGTGTAGGAATGAAGTTCATTTCAGGCAGCAAAATAAATACATTTTATTGAAGGTATAAATTTTATTTATATCAAATACAAATAAACAAGTTACAAATATATCTATAAATGTGATTTTTCAATATCGAAATGTGTATAGGAATACAAAAGTAGGTATGTAAATAAATTTTTAGTCGATAACATTGTAATAGTTTTCAAAAATACGCTTATATCATATAAATGTTATAGTTTACTATACATTATCGGTACACAGTAAAATATATAAAAAATTTATGCTTGTTTGTTTGTTCGTATTTTATGCGCAGCCATGCCGTTCACCAGATTGCGCTAAAACTTTGTCAACTTATTGCTTGCACTAGCGTGAAGGTTATAGGCATAGTGCAATTAACTTACACTAGATGGCGCGCGTATCGTACAATTTCAATAAATGCACTATCATTCCTAATTAAACATACTAATTAAAAATGATATTTATAAAATTATTTCCATAGTACCAGCTAGTATACAATACAATTCATCACATTTTGTAATATAAATTTTTTAAATTTGTCATTATTTATTTTCTATATTATACAAATCTATAAACATTTAATGATTTATATGAAAATATATCTGATATACACAATTTTAAAGACATACATTATAGATTGAATTTTTTGCATAATAGATATTTGTCGATATTCAGTATTGCCATATACATGAGGTAAAAATCCTTTCGAAAATATGCAAAATATTATATGTGTTAATAGTTTAATTTGTGCTGCTAGGAGTTAAAAGCCTCGTAGCTTCTCTGTAGCCACTCTCACTGGCTGCGTGGGCATTCGTAAAGTGATTCAAGTCGAGCGCCTCTCCCGCGAACAGTACTTTAGGTGAGCCAGCACTGTCTAGGAGGGGTTTGCCCAAATCCGCCCTAGAGGTGGGATTCTTCGTTGAGCTCACACTATCAAACGGGAAGCAACCTCTAATGTACGGATTCGAGTACCAGGTTGACCTGTAAAAAAGTTATAGAGTTAAACATAGTCATTTTGACAATAGCGACTACCTCTGAACACACTCAGCAGGCCAGCTCCTGACAAAGTCGAGTCCTGCATCAATCGAATTTTTTTCAAACACAAGATAATTTCGTACTCCCGAAGCTAAATAATTTATATGAACAATGATATATATAGTCTAGCTGATGGCAAGTAGTGTCTGTATTCTATGCGTACCTGCAGCCAACTTCAATCAAAGGCTAGGACTACAGATGCGTTTACACTACTAAGGACTAATTTTTTATTAAGGTTTTTGGCTTGGATGCTTATCTTTTAAGCCATGTGTTAGCCAACCCAGCGGACAGTCGATGATGACAGTCACTCAAGTTCATAATGCATCTAAGCGTTCAAAATAACTTGATGTTGGTTTATATCTGACTACAAACGACTACTAATACGGATCTTAAACTAAATCGATATATATATATATATATATATATATCGCTTCAATTTTATTAAAAAATGTAAGAAGTGTCGAATTTAATAGGAACAGTAACTCACCTGACTATTCCAGTCGGCTCGGGTACTGTCACATGGGCTCCAAGGAATTTCCGGAGTAGATCAACCGTTTTCCTCTTCACAACTTCCTCTGGTATAGTTTCTACCTGCATTTTATACATTATTGTTCTTTAATCATAAGTTCGCGCGATTTTAAAATCTATCACTCAAATGGTTTTATTACAATGAAAAAGCAAATTAAACACACAATAAGGATCCCGTGTACAGGCGGTGTAAGGATATCCACTAGCCCATATCATCTCGTGTGTGTCATAGAAGGCGACAGGGGGAAACAAACTAAGATGCTGGCAGCAGCGTCTGCCTAATAACAACTTAAAATTATTAAAAAAACTGCGGTTGCCGAGCGTGGCAACTGTGGCAAAATCCTCCTATGAGGCAATCTATGGGGGGAGGCCTATGTTCACCAGTGGACTTTAATAGGCTGTCATGGATGGATGTATAGAAGATAATCTACCAGGAGCACATGACCCACTGAGAGGTGAAATTATTAAATCAACAGTAACATTACAACTATGTAGGATAATCTACCAGGAGCACACAACCCACTGAGAGGTGAAATTATTAAATCAACAGTAACATTACAACTATGTAGAAGATAATCTACCAGGGGCACATGGCCCACTGAAAGGTGAAATTATTAAATCAACAGTAACATTACATATGTTGAAGATAATCTACCAGGAGCACATGACCCACTGAGAGGTGAAATTATTAAATCAACAGTAACATTACAACTATGTAGAAGATAATCTACCAGGAGCACACGACCCACTGAGAGGTGAAATTATTAAATCAACAGTAACATTACAATTATGTAGAAGATAATCTACAAGGAGCACATGACCCACTGAGAGGTGAAATTATTAAATCAACAGTAACATTACTATGTTGAAGATAATCTACCAGGAGCACATGACCCACTGAGAGGTGAAATTATTAAATCAACAGTAACATTACAACTATGTTGAAGATAATCTACCAGGAGCACATGACCCACTGAGAGGTGAAATTATTAAATCAACAGTAACATTACAACTATGTAGGATAATCTACCAGGAGCACACAACCCACTGAGAGGTGAAATTATTAAATCAACAGTAACATTACAACTATGTAGAAGATAATCTACCAGGGGCACATGGCCCACTGAAAGGTGAAATTATTAAATCAACAGTAACATTACTATGTTGAAGATAATCTACCAGGAGCACATGACCCACTGAGAGGTGAAATTATTAAATCAACAGTAACATTACAACTATGTAGAAGATAATCTACCAGGAGCACACGACCCACTGAGAGGTGAAATTATTAAATCAACAGTAACATTACAATTATGTAGAAGATAATCTACCAGGAGCACATGACCCACTGAGAGGTGAAATTATTAAATCAACAGTAACATTACTATGTTGAAGATAATCTACCAGGAGCACATGACCCACTGAGAGGTGAAATTATTAAATCAACAGTAACATTACACTATGTTGAAGATAATCTACCAGGAGCACATGACCCACTGAGAGGTGAAATTATTAAATCAACAGTAACATTACAACTATGTAGAAGATAATCTACCAGGAGCACACGACCCACTGAGAGGTGAAATTATTAAATCAACAGTAACATTACAATTATGTAGAAGATAATCTACAAGGAGCACATGACCCACTGAGAGGTGAAATTATTAAATCAACAGTAACATTACTATGTTGAAGATAATCTACCAGGAGCACATGACCCACTGAGAGGTGAAATTATTAAATCAACAGTAACATTACAACTATGTTGAAGATAATATACAAGGAGCACATGACCCACTGAGAGGTGAAATTATTAAATCAACAGTAACATTACAACTATGTAGAAGATAATCTACCAGGAGCACATGACCCACTGAGAGGTGAAATTATTAAATCAACAGTAACATTACAACTATGCCAAATATCTCCCTTGTGAGGCAATCTATAGGGTGGCCTATGTTCAGCAGTGGACTTATATAAGTTGAAATGAATGGATGGATGGATGGACACAATATGGATCAATGGTAATGGAGTTAGATTTCTTACTGGTCTGGGTTTCTTGCTGGTTCTTCCCAGGACAGAGGTTTTTTCTGAACCAATAGTGAATGTAAAAAAATGACTCTCAATAAAAATTACTTGTAGTCTATATTGATATTTTGTTTCCATTAATTTTCTATTCTAGGAAGGTTTTTTGCTTGTTTAGCACAACCACAAATAAGTACACTACACATTTAACACACACACTGAACAAACATTCACTGTAGAGACTCAGTCGGTCGGACAGACTAAGTCAGTCTCGGTCAGTGAGATCCATTTGCGGTGAAGTTCCTAAAAGAGCGGTATCTATATTTTTATTTAGTGTTTCGTATGGTGAGTGTAGAGAACCGGAGACCCTTTTTACTGGAAACGAGGCCATTCCATCTTAGTCCTTAGAGGTGACAAGATTGCATCTGCATTTTGATTCTTAAACGAGAATAAATTCAGATGACTATGGGCCACAGCATCCTCTTACCATTAGTGGACTGTGTGCATCTTGTTCTAAATATATAGAAGTTATTAAAGGAACTGTATCCACGACTTGTCACCGCTGCTGTTGATAAGAGGGTTGGTTCTTTTCTCCCTCAAAGGCTAAGTATAAGCTTCCAGCGAGGAAATGCAGTTAGCATTTTTGGCACGACGCCACGGAGAGTAGTACTCTATGATAATTTAGGGTATTAGTTTTTTTGCTTTCACTTAAGACAATTTGTCTTTAGTCATTGCTACAAAGCTGATTATATTACAACATACAATCTCTGTTTCTTATTTAAGATAATCAACTATGTACATATATATATTTTACCTATTTTTCGTAAAGCTCAGAGTCCACCTGATAGTAAGTGGATGCTGTGGCTCCTAGAAATATAAACCTAACTTTGATTAAGAGTCAAAATGCAGATGCGTTGTCATCCCTGAGGACTAAGATGGAATGCCTCGTTTCCATTGAAAAGGGTCTCCTGATCTCTACACACCATACGAAACACAGCAGCATTAAGCTGCTATTTTATGCTGGTATTCTTTAAAAACGTGGTCCTTTCCCAATGGAGCCGACCCATTCATGCTACAAATATAATATAGCTGCAGCGTGACTACCACGGACAACAAGACTGTATAGTACTATAAATAACATCTTCATAAAGCTAAAATACATGCACAAAACTAGTTTGTGGTCATATCAAATCAAACCAACCAATTTGGCCGTTTCCCCACTAGTCCACAAGGTCAGCGTGTTATCGGATCCCAAGTGAGAGCTTGCGCCGAATATCTTGGTAATCCAGAAATCTTCTTTAGCCACTTTCTTCTTGTCGTCCCCCTTCCACAGGAACACTAAAAAGCGGCTCGTATTCGGCCACCACGGCTTGTCGAATGAGAGAACAATTTTATCCAATACACCCACTGTCATGCTGCTGAGGGCGTTTACTTTCTCACTTGGCAGTGGTGGGGTGAACAGGCTCGTGTGTCTGAAAGAGGGGAGAATTATGGTGATGAACGTACGAATGCATGCTCAAGCTATAATAAGAGTACGTTTTTACCGATTTTGTCACATTTAATTTAACTTTTTAATTCCTGACATTTCGATCACGGAGACTGAGGTGTATGAAGTCGATATATATTCCGATAATATTCAAAAATTTAAGGTCGCTGAGTTAACTATGACATCGGAACGTCAAACACACTACAACACACTAGTCGCCGTATATAAATGCTGTAAAAGCACGGGGCACAAAAGTACGGGTCATGTATGTATGTAAAGCCAGTTCTCTACACTTCACATATTAAAACACAGCAGCATTAAACTGCTATTTTAAGCTGGAACTCCGTAAGAGCGTGGTCCTTACTCAGCCGGTGTAAAAAGTATAACTAATCATATATTATCCGATTCCAGTAAAAACAATAATATTAGTATTTTTTTTGTAAAATAATTACGATTGAATTTGCCCTTCAACTATGTAACATGCAAAATTGTCTATGGTGTCGACGAAATAATAAATATACAAGTATCATTCATTCAATTGGTTTCATAAAGAAAAATTAAGTGAGAATAATGATTAAGGAATTTTATACTTTATCCCAATGAATTAAAATTTATTAGAATTTATAATTAGATTTACTAGAAATTATTAAACTAAAATTCAACAAAACTTTACCAAGTTACATTAATTCCTACACAAGTTATATAACTTTAACTTATGAATGACTATGACTTAATAAGACTTAATACTTTCTGTATGCATTAAGTACGATTTTATTTACAAACACGCTGTATACGGACCAATTTTACCATTTTCTCGGAAAACCATAGTCACTCGAGCCCATTGGCATGGACGCAGTAGATATGTATTAGCCACTCACTTTGAAAACCTTATCTCTTTCTTCCTTTGCGTGTTGAAATATGAAGTTAGATCTCGGCCACTTAAGCTTGGGGAATGCTCTAACTACTTTGGTGAGAAGTACCATAGGCAATCTTTGTATAGCTAACGCTCTCTTACGAATGAGGAGTGTTAGAAAGAGTTGAATATCTGGAAATATTCTCTTTTTCAATAATAACACGTTTTAGTAACAGACACACTACTATATAGTATAGTATTGTATTATATTAGGGGTCTACATACTAAGTTTCTACAAGGTCATAGGATTTCCCTTCATTGCCTAGAAGTCCATCTTGGTGACTATCATCTTACGTATTTCTACCGTAATCTAATACTTGTTCTGGCGGGATTCAAACCAATGGCCCTCAGTGCCGTAACTCATTGCTAAATCACTACGCCACGGAACCGCCTTGCTGTGTATAGATAATGTCCTCCAGACCGAATTTCGGTCACGGCGGCCAGCCTCAACGGAGGCTAGCCATCGGCGCAGGACAGGATTACAGTGCCCAAGTGTATGCGTAAGCACAGGTGCACTCTCTATTGCCTCACTCTCATAATCTGATGGGACGGTAAACCGACACGACCGGAGAGAGATCAGGCGCAGGACCAATGGCTTTACGTGCTTTCCGAGGCACGGAGGTGAGACACCGCCAATTTCCTGTCTCCGGGCAGCTACTGAGAATTTCTTGACAGAAAAACTCAATAATTGATTTTTTGGCCCGACCCGGGATTCGAACCCACGACTCATGATCAGCAGTCGCACTACTACAACCACTACACCAACGAGGCATTCAAAGGTGTGTATAGAGTGTATAGAGCTAGTATAATAACAGGCTACTAGGCATTCCATTTTAGTCCTCAGAGGTGACAACGCATCTGTATACTTCTTTGTTTGAAGATGTTTGAAGATGACCATGGACTTTAGTATCCACGTACCATCAGGTTAGGTGTAAGCTTGTCTGGTCCTTCTTTACAAATAATAATCCTGTTAGAAACTTGGTAGAGCTATATTGCAGCTAGTCTAATGGGAAGACCATACTCTTACAGAATACCAACGCAAAACTTGATTGGAACAAATTACAACAATCTTTCTGTATATTTATTCATAAAACTGACCTTTCCTTCAAAACTCCAACCGGTATGGTGACAATGACATTGTTGGCTTTGTACACTTTGCCGTCCTTGCAGGTCACTTCCACTGGGGTAGAGGGTTGCTGCGGCCAGACGATTTTAGTCACTTCTGAGTTGAGCTTAATGTCTAATGTCGGTAAACCTGGTCCGCCTTGATATGTGTTCTGAAATGATAATATTACCGTAACAGTTACTGCCTATTAAAGTCCACTGCTGAACATAGGCCCCCCCCCCATAGATATTTGCCATAGTTGCAATGTTACTGTTGATTTAATAATTTCACCTCTCAGTGAGTCATGTACTCCTGGTAGATTATCTTCTATACATCCATCCATGACAGCCTGTTAAAGTCCACTGCTGAACATAGGCCTCCCCCATAGGTTGCGTCATAGGGGGGATTATTTGCCATAGTTGTAATGTTACTGTTGATTTAATAATTTCACCTCTCAGTGGGTCATGTGCTCCTGGTATATTATCTTCTATACATCCATCCATGACAGCCTGTTAAAGTCCACTGCTGAACATAGGCCTCCCCCATAGGTTGCGTCATAGGGGGGATTATTTGCCATAGTTATAATGTTACTGTTGATTTAATAATTTCACCTCTCAGTGGGTTATGTGCTCCTAGTAGATTATCTTCTATACATTCATCCATTACAGACTATAAAAGTCCACTGCTGAACATAGGTCTCTCCCATAGGTTGCGTCGTCGTACGGGAGATATATGCCACAGTTGCCACGTTTGGCAACCACAGTGTTTTAATTTCAGTCGTTATTGGGAAGACTCTGAAGCCCATCCCCTGATGTGTTCCCCTTTGTAGCCTGTTACGACACCTACGGGATGATATTGGGTGATGGATATTTTTACAGTCACTAAATGGTAAAACATTAAGAGTAAACGCATCTGTATTTTGATTGTTAAGTAAGGGTGGATGTAGATCTCTATGGGCTACAGCATCTACTTACCATCAGGTAGACTGTGTGCTGGTTTGTCACCCTTATTCTATTAAAAAAAGATTAAATATCCAGACTGCCAAAAGTGAGCATAATTAAGGGTGCGAGCTATCTACAAAAAACATAAACATTAACACTCACGCCTGTCACCCAGAGGGGTAGGCAGAGATTACAGACTTCCATTTAGCACGATCTTGACATACCTCTCTCGCCTCTTCCACATGCATATACCTACGCATACATGCTCGTCGTAATGGTACTCTTAATTTGGCCCATTTTTAATATATCGCCAATTCGGTCGACAAACCTTCGCCTATGGAAGAGTCGAAAAGGGACGTCCCTTTTCGACTCTTCCATTCACTTCTGCAACATATATTGGCTTTGTCAGTCTTTCCTCATTCATTCTTTCTACATGACCAAACCACCAAACCATTCCTTTCTTAATCCTGGTCACCGCATCATCTTGCAAACCACACTCTACTTTTATCACACAGTTTCTCACCCTGTCACTCAGATTCAGCCCTAACATACTCCTTAGTGACCACATTTCTACTGGATTTATTCTACTCTCGTGCTTCTTCTGGCACACCCAACTTTCACTACCATATGTTAAAGTAGTGACTAATTCAGCATTGTGAATTGCATTACGTGCCTGTTTTGACTTTCCACAACAGTGTGAGCGAGCTATGTGATACTGAGATTATCGATCCATCTGCAAGCCAGGCAATGACAGTAGAGATACTCCCTACTATAAGTCGAAGACTAAGTGTGGGCCGTTTTCAGTTTAATGTATGAAAATAAAGAGGCATTAGCTTTAAGGCACTTACCAGCTGCAGTTCAAAGAAGGTTTTGTAACCGTTTCGGTGCCAACACAAAAATCGGTTACCATCTAGCCCCTTGTAGTTTGTTTTTGTGCTGACGTCATTCCAGCTGCTTGAACCCTTGACGAACCCCACTATGAGGTCAATGAGGGCCAGGAACTCCTCGAGAAAATCTTTGTCTTTGAGTAGCTCTGGATGGGTCTCTTTTAAATGGTCCTTTAATCTGGAATTTTTGGGGGTAGATAAACATTTTGTGGTTTAGTGTACCTATTTTGAAACCAAAAACATTTATGTGGTAGTGCCATGCTGCAGCTGTAATTATGGTTATAGCATGTTGGGAATCGACCAGGGAAGGACCTCATTTTCACAGAATACTAGCGAGTAAACAGCATAATAACGTTGCTGTGTTTGTGAGTGTAAATAACTGTAGACCTTTTTTACTGAAAATGAGGCATTTCCCCTCAGGGGAAACAACGTATCTACATTTTGATTCTTAAGCGATGATAGTTGTCTATGGGCCACAGCATCCACTTAACATCAGTTGGACTGTGCTACTGTGTGCTTGTTAATTATCCTAATGCTATTAAAAAAAAAACTATAAATTTCAATTAACAATTCCACTGCTCGCATGCTCTGAAATTCACATAGAGCTCAACATGATAAAAAACTATTTCAACTATTAAAAATTTTGTAGGAACTACACTGTAAAGCTGTAAAAATCATACACTGGAAGACATAATATTGGACTAAAGCAACAGAGGTTAGCTTCGTGGTATGGGTCTTCTTCTATCAGAATTCAGTGCTTTTTATAGGACGGAGGTGATAAACGAGCACACAGTCTACCTAATAGTAAGTGGATGCTATGGAGCATAGACATCCACATTTATCTTCGATTAAGAATCCCTGAGGACTATGATGGAATGCCTCGTTTCCAATAAAAAGGATCTCTAGTTCACTACACTCATCATACGAAACAGCAGAATTAAGATGCTATTTTACGCTGGTATTCTGTGAAAGTGTGGTCCTACCCTGGCAAAGCCGACCAATTCGTGCTACAACTATATTACTAATGTAGCTGCAGCATAGCTCCACCACATATAAAATTCTATAATATTCTATATTTAGGGGTTGCAAAGCGCCTATAAGCTTCCCTGTCCATACTCGTATATGATTACATACGTACATGGGTTGAGAGGTCACTTTGCCTTCAGGTGAACTATGCTGGTTAACCATAATACAACTATAGGTGCACTCTGAATGTGCACTATAAGAGTCCCGGGTTTGAATCGAGCTAAAATCATTTATTGGGAGTATCAAGAAATTCTCAGTAGTGGACCAGTCAGGAAGTTATTGTTGTTCACACGCCTGATCTCTCGCCGGTCGTGTCGGTTTGCCGTTCCATTGCACTATGAGGGCGAAGGAGTGGAGAGTGCACCTGTGCTTGCGCACACACTATAATCCTGTATGCACTATATAATCTTGTCCATAGCACAGATTGTCTTCATTGAGACTGACCTGCATGGTCTAATATCGGTCTGGAGGACATTATTATTAGGAACCTTAAACTTGCTGAAACTTTAACCTAAACTTAATCCTAAGATGACAAGAAACCGTATGGTGTTGTCGTACGTTAGTACCCGTGAGCGTCGTAAGAGGCGACAGAGGGAAGCAGAAACAGAGGATGGGCAGCGGCATCTTCCAGATAACGTCTCAAAGTAACAAAAAACTGCAGTTGTCAAACAGCGTGCCAAGCATGACAACTATGGCAAAATCCCCCCAAAAGCAATGTATAGAGGAGGCTGTTCAGCAGTGGACTTTAATAGGCTGTAATGGATGGATGACAAGAAATAGGTCACAAATCTCCTAAATACTCACTTCCGAGTGATATAAGCGCCTAAGGATTCCTCTTCAGTGTAGGCGTCTTCTATCAAAGGCAAGCAATACGTTATCAGTTCGTTGATCAGCTCATGATTGTCTCTGGTCCCGTCAGACTTATACACGCCCATAGTTATGTCCTCAGAGAGCACTGAGATGTTGTTCTGGACTGCAGTGTCGTATATCCTGCTGGGGTACTGACCGTGGATCCTTGAGGTGGGCAAGAAATATATTTAGTAGGAGCTTTTACTTAGAACTTAGAACTTAAATAAAAATGTCTGCTGTTACAGTGGTCTTTGGGCAAGTTTAATTATCAATAACAAGTGAAGAAAAAAAAAGAGCGTGGTACGCTCTCACAACTGCATAGGCCAAACTACTACTAGTATGTATATCCTGAGATGAATCGGATAAACCGATTTGGCCTACGACAAAGTAACTAGTTTGGCCTGAAATTGGGTTTGACACTTAACACTAGTATATATATATATATATATATATATATATATATATATATATCAATGGTAAATGCCCATCCTAGGAGAAGAATAAAATAGTAGCGTTATAGAAAACCATCTTGACATTTAGTTTTGACAATCGTAAACTTCAAGTAACGGGATACTTACAATTACAACATTAAAACATTGTAATGAATCTCACCGTGTAGTGGTAGCGTCCAGTCGTGATGAACTTTGGACCCATTGGGCGGTGTAAGAGGCGACAATGGATAAAAGGCAGCCAGTACGAACAGACTGTAAGACATATCAGTCCTCAGGGGTGACAACGTCTCTTTACTCTTCTTTGTTTGAAGTACGGTGCAAGTACCAATGGACTACAGTAGCAACTAACTACCAGGTAGAGGTTTGTTTGTCATTTCAGTTGTATAAATAAGGAGTTGGCTCGCCAGCGTCTGTCAAGATTGGACTTTTAACAGGCCGATGGAGAAGAAGAAAAATATTTAAAGACCAGAATAAAGTACTTACCATTCCGCACCAAGCTCGACAACGCCATCACCGAAAGGTACAGTGTTGACACGACCGCCGATACGGTCCTGTGCCTCCAAGCCTAGTACTTTCTTCCCTGCTCTAGCGAGAGTCGATGCTGCTGTCACTCCAGCCACACCCAACCCTATAACTATAGTGTCGTACTGCATTGTGGACCTGGAAAAAAAACGGTTGAATATATGACTATTGATGATATGATTCAATAACATTAACAACTTAGATTATGAAACTGAAATAGTTTGAATATATTTTAATAAGTCTTTTTCGTAATTATAGACAGCCATTTTAATTCCAGGGTGTACAGTTAAGGAGAACCATCTCACATAAGAGAATGGTTGAAAAAGTGTTCATCTGTAAGCATTAAATAATAGTTCAAAAACTCTCCATAACAGCGCTAGAGTAGCTAGAGGGTATGAAATGAACTTAGCAGTTGTCAACGGAGTGAAGTGTGCCGAGTTGAGGAATTTAATATTTGTGGTGACTAGAGTAGTGCATGAAACTCCAGTATTTAAAACCTCAAATACTCACGTTCTCTAAAATAATTTAGTAAATATAGTGCAACCTTGATATAACAAATCGGAAGTGAACAAGTAAATATTTAGTTATATCAAGTAATTCATTGTACTGAGGTTGGTTATGTTGAGATTAGGTTGGTCTAAAATTTGTTATAGAGGTAAAAAATAATGCTTTCTTATATTTACGCGAACACTACACATTGATTGAAACTACTTTGACGGATTTTATCGCGTTTATTTTACTTTTAATTACTTTTATTTTTAATAAAGGTACTCCGGGTTTAACAATGACATCGGGACGTCAGTCATCTCAGTCCCCCGTGACCATGGGTGCTGGAAAGCGCCCGAAACGTCGGGAATTAAAAATAAAAGTAATTAAAAGTAAAATAAACGCGATAAAATCCGTAAAAGTAGTTTTAATCAAGGTAAAAAATAGTTTTATTCACAACTTCTACTAATAAACTTTATATATAAAGGTTTTGGAAAAAAATATTTAACTTTCTTATTAACGTTCGCAAGAAACGTTGGCAATGTAAATGTATATTTTATATTGAATCTTATGGACAATTCAAGGGGGTCAAGAAAAGTTTGTTAAATCGAGGAAGTCGTTATATTGAGGTGCGTTATATTAAGGTTGCACTGTATTACTTAGAGAAACACGTTCAGAGTGATTTTGAAAATAACAATTTTGAAAACAATAAAATAATTATTATAAAATAGAATTACGGTGGTATGGTAATAATATACATTTTTTGATTGAAATGACCAACGTAAATACAGAATATCGAAGGAAAATATTAATGATAATTAATAAATATTAATTTAATAAACAATAATCACATTTATGATGTAACCCGTAAATAAAAAGTGCGTCTTAATTTTGTATGGAATAAACAGAGTATTGATCGTAAATTACCTTAAAATATGTTCGACGAACACAGAAAAATTGTGTAATGCCTTGCTACAGTCTTTTATATAGATGTAGAAACCGTCCTAATTTAGATTAAAATTTACGTTATCAGTTCATCAATTATTCATTTCACTTTAGCAAGTCACTATAGATTAGATAATAAGTATGAGACCGATATTTTAAGCGGGCTACATACGACACGATATCGGTGGCGATCTAGGGTGGAGTAGTGGGGATGCCTCCTAGATTGCCTCTAAATCGTGTCGTATGTAGAGCCATCCTAAGTCGTAGCCGATATCGCCTCCTTAATCGGCTGGCAGGAGCAAAAATGCTTCCTAGATCAGCCGATGCTTCCTAGATCGGGGCACCGCCCCCTCCTTACTGCGTGTGTGTAGGCGCATCGGCCCGATTTCTTTTGGCAGTCGCTGCCGGCAACCCTCGCGGAAGGAAGTTAACAAAACAGTGATACTGAATGACCTTTTTTATGTAACAAAATTTTTACATTTTAATCATATAAACGGAGCAGAAGCCTATGGCACTGATATTTTACAAAAAACCAAAAAAAAAGTGAATAAAATAAATAAATTAAATGAAATTTTATCGAAATTCAAATCATATCCACCCTAGCCTGTGACCCTGCGTAGTGACATGGTTAAGAATGCCTACTAAACTAATTTTTTATTGCCGTTCGTAAAGTAGAGTGTATGATGTAAGTAAGGAGAAGATAAAGCCTCTCCTCAACAACTAACTCCTATTCCAACACTATCAACACAAGACCGCACTCATATCTCTTACAACTCCACAAGACCACAATTCGATCTCTTACGTGCCTTCATCCTCTTATAAACAACTAACTTCTACTCCTTCACCATCTCCACATCAACAAACAAGTTATATAAAAGGGAGTATGTCCGAAATTAAAGGTTTCTTTATGTTTAAAAAAATATATAAGCTATTTTATTTTCTGATAGTTTTACTCCATAAATAAAGATTACATTAAAAAAAGTATACATATTATTATACAAAAGTATTTTATTTCCTTGTTTGTTGTGTGTAATACATAACCAGATTTTGACCAAAGCAGAAATGAACAAAGAGAAGAAATAACTAAATAGCTTAGGTACATAGGAGAAATTGATGTTTTTATATAAGTGGAGAAATCATTTCTAGAAGGTTATAAAAACTGTCTTCATCCATCCGGAGAAAATTAATCATGTCTTTGGAATACAGATCATTTAGTACGTTTATGTGGCTTAATTTTTGTCTCTTTTGGAGCCATTTTTTCACCCAGCAACTCCTCTTTTTCTATTTTCGAATAAATTTACCGAGAGGGCTAATGCCAAACCAATACATTGGTGTTTTAAGAGAGTTGAAGCTATTTTGAAGAACTCTACCGCATATGTGTTCCGCTCCAAGTCCGAACGCGTACTGCTAGGCAGGCCCATGTGTAGGGTCTGCCCCGATAAAAGCCCCGATTTCTTTCCACCCTAGATCGCCACCGATATCGTCTCGTGTGTAGCCCGTTTTATTATTAGCCACGTTGCAGCTTTATAATATCGTATTATTATATCAAAGGAATAAATTTGTTTTCTCACAAGACCTAACTCTACAGTAAGTGGGGCCTTAACAAAGGCGTGTAACGGGCTAAGTAAATATAGACACTCGCACGCGGACGTAAGGTGCATTTTGATTCAATCCGCGCACCGCATTAATTTTTTTTTCGGCGATTTAATCCGTAGACTAATTTCACGAAGGTCGCTTCCGCGGCGTGCAAAGTATTATGAACATTACAGACGTCATAACTAGGTTTATACTCGCAAGTTAGCTAACAAAGAGTGATCCTTTTGTTCTTGAACTTTTTTATTCTGTGACATATGGAATCATAATATCATATCATATCGATAAACCTTATTACATATCCAACCAAAACCAACTAGAGTAGTTATCACACAACGGTGCACATCGCAATATCCAATACCTTTAGACGAGCAATTCTTGATATATATATATAATCGGAATCTCGGAAACGGCTCCAACGATTTTCATGAAATTTAGTATGCAGGGGGTTTCGGGGGCAATAAATCAATCTAGCTAGGACACATTTTTAGAAAATGTCGTTTTATCCATGTTTTTAGGCAATGAAAAACAGCTACAATATCATTAGAATACGAATAAGTAAATTTTAATGTAATTAAAAAAAAAACAGAAACAGATATCGGGCGGTCGTGAAATCATAGAACGCCGGTTGTAGGCGCGTAAAACATCTTTGCGCGTAGGTACCGTTCTTTAAGATATTATCTATAAAATTTTATTAAGTTTTGACGTTGCGTGTATTTATTTGCAATATTTTTGTGCATTAGTATTAATTCAGACGTTGTGTACAGTGAAAATATAGTACAGTATAGTTTAAGTTGATTTAGACTATCTTAATCATTTTAGCAAAAAGATTTTCATTTAGCATAAGGCTTATGAAATATGTTCTAACTGATAAAAAAGACAATTCCGTGTACCTTGTTGGCTTCGACTCGTACAGTTATACCCAACGACTATACAGCCCGAATAGACGCCTAATGTGTACTGCTGCATCCAAAGTCCACACCTGTCTGTCAAGTCTGAGGTAAGCGGTACAGGGAATGCGGCCGAAACGCACGCTAATTGGTTAAAATCAAGGTTGCGACGCTTGCTAATAGACAAATATTGCTGGGAACTTTAACTGATAAATTTGGTACCAAGTCTACTTAATCAGTACCAGAATTATATTTTACTAGAAATTAGTACAAAATAAAAAAATTCAAAAGAAATTTTATTTAAGTAGGTATCGTATTTAGTAAAATACCTATAATTTTCTGTTTATAAGAATATTTTTATTTAAAAAAAAGTAATCACTACCACCAGAACATGCTGAGCAAAAGCAACTGTGGCGGCGCTGTCATCGCGCGACAAGCGAAACACACCGAAGCCTAAATCGCGCTATCAAAATTCCGAATCATAAACAGTATATATAGAACAGCTCCGAACTGCGCCCTCCAAACCAATTAATTCGTGAGGCAGCTTCTTATGCAGCCCCACCCCCCTCTCGCTATCGTGTCCGCAGGCCGAGAAACTCTCTCTCGGACCCGCCTAATAAACTGTCAAACGACCTGAACTGTCTCCTGGCGGCTCAGGCCAACTCTAATTAAATTAAATTATTGTATTAACTAACATTAATTTGCCTTCGTAGGCACTCCCTCAGCGGCACTTAGCCGCCTGCGCCCTCTTTTCCCAAAAGAGGGTCGCTCATAATAAGGCACAATAGAGCTTAATCAGCCGGCTGCCTGTCCCCAAAGGCGGTTTTTAGAGGGTATCACTTAGGGTCCCCGGTAGGACAGTGAGCCCCTCATAACCACGATAGACCGGCTATCGTGGTATGCGTAATGCATTTCCCGCCTCCCTACGTTGGCCCTTTAATTGCTTCGGGCGTGCCCAAAAAAAATTTGCTTAGGGGGCAAAAAAAAACTATCACACGGAGCGTTAGCTTAGCCGCTCCCCGGGCACGACACCTTTTGGCCTTTCACCACGATCTTTTCCTTCTACGGCCACATATGTATTGGAGTTGTATGCTTTGTTATGCCTGTTTGATAAATAAATACAGCATTACGTAACATCTTAATATTATAAAATATTCGTATTTTATAATACGAGTCTATTTTAGAAGTAGTTTTTACCTGGATAAAGTAGTTTTAAATTACTTCAGAATAGGAGGAGATTCTCGATTCTGTCAAGATCGAGTCGAGTATGTTTTTTGTATATATTTCACACGATATCTTAGTATTTTATTCGATATCTCGTAAACCGATTTTAATGTAAATATAAATACAAAATTGTATTCTGTTTACAATTTTGTATTTATATTTACATATTAAAATCGGTTTACGAGATATCGAATAAAATACTAAGATACCGTGTGAAATATATACAAAAAACATACTCGACTCGATCTTGACAGAATCGAAAATCTCCTCCTATTTTGAAAAAATGTAAACCTTTTAAACTAATATAGAGAAATAATTTTACTCATGGCTGGTCCGGCACTTTAATTATTTTCAACCGATTTAAAAAAGGAGGTTCTCAATTCGACCGTTTTTTCTCTATTTATTTGATAATTTTACAATATTTAGATTGGTATTTTACAGCATAAACATAAGCTATACAGCTTTACCGTATACCGATGCCATCAACAAACATAGCATGACAATTATTATGCCAAATAATTATGTCATACATCTAATGTCGCCTCTACACTTTGGCCAACACAGTGGCGAATGTAGTGGCGAATATATTGGCCGAGAGTTGGTGACGGCGTCCACACGTTGGAAGGTCGTTCAGTTTACTTCGGTTCGGGCCAGTGTGCGGACGAATTTATAATCACCGTGGCGCAGGGGCTCAGCAATGAGTGGCTGCGCCGGGCGCCGCGGGTTTGATCCCGCACGGAACAAGTATTTGTATGTCCTAAAAATAATTGTTTCGGGTCTGGATGTATGTCCTTGTGCAATTTATGTTTGTAAACTGCCTGCGTGATACGGGAGAAAATCCTAGTATGGGGTTAACGTTTTTATAAAAGAATTATAAAATAATGGTGGTTATTAATGGGACTGTAAATAGATATACGATATACGATTAGCTTTATTTATTCTTTACATGCATCATAAACTGGAATAAATACCATTAATAAGAACTTAACTTATTTTAAAGTTAAAGGAGTTATAATCGATTAGTCTATGTTTTAAAATTGGGTTTTGATTTTAAAGCTTAGCAAAATATGTACTTGCATTTCTATCAGACATTTGATGTATATAAAAAACACCTTATAATTTATTTGATAATTTAATTATTTTTTGAAAAAGACAAAAACAATAGCAATAAATATAATTAACACTGACTTAATAATAGGTACTAATTATAACTTAGAACATAAATGAAAAACTCATGACAAGGAAAGTGGCTCAGGACCATGCTTTGCGGCAGTCTGTGGAGGAGGATGTTCAGTAGTTGACTTGTGAAGAGCTGCAATGATGATGATGATTCGAAAACTGGCACGATTAAA